GACGTAATACTCGAGAAAACGTGGAAAACGAGCCCCGGATCGTACGATTGTAAGCAAAAAAAACTGGGAAATTGCGCCCGCTCTCTATTATCAACGGTTTTTTAGTCAATATTAAATCTAATCTCCTTAGTAAAACCGTTTAAAAAATTTTTGTTCCCGCCATCCCTCCCTTGGTTTGTGCAGTTGTTTTCAGTTCTATTATTATTTTATCTTAGTTGTTTAGTGGCCGCCCCATCGGGCTTTTCCGGTTTTCTCTGCAACTAGGAGTCAGACCCTCCGGGGCCGTCCTGCGTTATTCACACATCTTTACAAACAACCTAGTCTACACCAGGGGGTAAATGTCCTCGGCCTCGGATGGTTCTGGACACGTGTCCAGGAATTTCGATGAGATGGCGTTTCAAAACCGGCCCAGTCACGAAATTTGTGAGAGCCGTAATTAGAGCTTGCCTGACACCGGTTGAACCACGTTTGACAAACACACGTACTTCGACCGGTCCCCACCTCCGTCTCAGGAACAATCCAGATGTCAGAACGGGATGAGGTCGTGACCGAGACGGTGTTTTACGGATGTGAAACGGTAAGATGCCGTTCCGCTCCTGCCCAAGTTTGGCTGTGTGCAGTCGTTCACGCAGCCACCAAGGCGGAGTGAGATGAGATCATAACGCTTCATTACGAACCGTTATGATCGAAAATGCCCAGGTTTGTCCGATCTTGCAAAAACTGGATTCGTCATCAGGTTTGTCTGAAGCGCCCTATCAGACCAATCCCAATTGTTCGCACTTGTTCTCCTCACAGTATACTGAGACTAATCTGTGCTGATCGAGCAAAAGATGTTGATTTGAATTTAATAAAAGGATAGATTACCGCTATCTTCTCAGTCGCATTCAAATGGATTTGCTTCCTGATCGAGCAAAAGATGTGTAGTAACAATCGGGTTTTTTAAAAACAAACAAAAACCATTCTTTTTTTAAGAGAAACAAAAGAAAACAATATAAGATGATTTGAATGTAATAAAAGAGAAGGAGATTACAACTATCATCTCTGTCATATTCAATGACTTCTCTTTCTGATCGAGTGAAAGAAGTGTATCTTGAAAGACAAAAGAAAATGATTTTGGAACTGATGAAACCATCTCGATCCATTGCTTTCTGATCGACCTGAAGTGTAATGAATATCTATCTTTTTAAAAAAGGAAAAAGATATAAGGTGGCTTGAACTTATAAAATGATCTTGTTTGATTGATTTCTGATCGACCAAATGAAATTTTAAAAAAAAGATAACCCAATTTTCAAAGGTATTTTGAAAGCTCTGACAGTCGCCGTGGGTCAATACGGTGAAGATGACATGTTCCCTTCAAGGAGCACCTTATCAATCATATGTTGATAATAATCTCGAGCCTTGAACATTAGATCCATCGCGGTTCCAAAACGAATGCCCCATTTGACCATGTGATTGACGTTCAAGAACCGTGGGTACAGGAATTTGGCAAAGTTATTAATTCGATGTTGTCGGAAAATGTCCATCACATCTTGAATCTCATCACGAGGAACAGAGGCGTATTCAAGATAATCCTTGAGATTGTTCTTCGTCTTTTGGATCAGGTTTTTGACCATGGTACGAGACACCGAGATCGATCGGCCTTGAAATTCAACATAGCCACCCTTCACAGAGTCTGGCAGGCTGTTGATGTTGCATTTAACAAGGTCTTGATAATACTGACGTGCCATGAAGATGAGGTCCATTGCTGTTCCATAAGGAATCCCCCATTGTACCAAGTGATCAACATTCAGAATTGCTGGAAAAAGAAATTTTTCGAATGAGTTGATGCGGTGTGGACGTAAGATGCCGATCACCAAATTGATTTTGTCTGGTGAAATGTCAACGTAAGATAAATAATCTCTCATTGTTGTTTTGCTTCTCAGCGAATCAATCGTATCATGATCCACCGTTATCGAGCAGCCTTGAAACTCCAAATAATCAATTGTCGCATCATCGAACTGGGTATTGGGTCCCCCGTTCCCCGTCAAGCGTGCCATCTTCTTGGGGGTAGGAGGTTCAGACTCCTTCTCGCAGTCTGTGTCACTAGCTGCTCTTTTAGCATTGCGGCAAGGTGACGAGTTCTCAACCAATGACTGGTTCTTCGGATGATTTGATCGAAAAAAAAAATGAGTATATTGAAAAAAGAGATGATTCAGATGGGACATTAAACCGCTCACTGAAGCCAAATTGGGGTCATCCATTGTCACAATTGCACCTGAGATATTGATTGATTGGAGGTTGAAGGTGATGAGGTGAGAGGTGATGACTTGAAGACGAGCAACTGCAATCGGCAGGAAAAGCAAAAAACTTGGCCAAGTTTTTTTTGAATTGCACAAAATCCACCTCGATCAATTGAAAAAAAATACAACCACCTGTCAAAAGAACTTGTTGAGGTTTTGTTGAGGACGTGGAAATGAAATTTGTCCCAAAAAACACAAGTTCCATCCACCTGCGACTCACCTTGACTTACACACAACTCATGTTTCCCAGCTCTCAACGTTATCAAAGGAGCCCAATGGGATCCAATTACGATCGACTATCGACATCCATCATACCCAGGACCCGCTCAGCGTCTGATGCCTTTGGGTTGGACAGCCGCCACCAAAACACCCCTAACCTGCGGCACCGCTCGTCGCAGAATGGGCCCATCCAGGAAGATGAGCCTGATTATCGTGCTGCGTTAGGTGACACATTTTTCACACCCGATATGATGCGATCCGAGTCAAGACCACATTCATCAGGAATCAGTCCTGAGGAAAATGTGGTTGACCCACTCGCATTATCAAATATGGTTAGCACAATTGGTGCTCAATTCGGTCTCACTCCGAGAGCAATCTCTGAAGTGGACAAAGTTCTTCAGGTAATGTAGCATCTGTAGCCCAAAATTGAGATTGAAACTGATGCTTTGGTCTTGTTGAAGTAGCAACCCAATGAACAGAGCCGCCAGATAGCACTGATTTGCTTCTTGGCCTCACAGTTTCCAGCCAATCGCCAGTCCAACTCCGCGGATCAAGTCACAGTTACGGTTGGCCCCCCAATGGTTCAACCTAAGGGTGATCTATGGAAAGCTGAAGATCGCCTTCGAGTGAGTCAATATCCAGGAACACAATGATTTTTCTATGTTATACTAACATGAACATAGTATAGACTTTCATTCGAGATTTGATTAAAGACCTGCTTATGAAATCATCAATACAAGCCTACTCAACATCAAACTCATTACGCAAGCATCCCATCGTAGAATCACTCGAGAATCTAGTGATTGTGAGTTCCATTATATCTCGATTTCAACCTTCAAGCTGATGTTGTACCCAACCCTAGGAGGCACTAATGGCTGTCGATTGCAAAGTCAAAGCCAATGAATTGCCAGAAGGATTTCGAAACAGTGATCTGAATGCAGAAGGTTTAGTACGAAAGATTGTTAAGGAGATTGCTAAAACAGAGAAAAGCAAATTCCAAAGTGCACTCCTTGACGGTATCAATAAACCGGCAGTCGGTTCTTTAGTCCCTAAGTTGTACGATCTGTACTTTCAGCTTGGCCGTACACGAGCTCCTAAGAGCTTAACGATATCTAATGATGTGATCTGGAGCACGATCAATCTTGCTGACAAATGTAGGATTGCACTTCTGGTGAGGTTGAACCAACAGTCAAAGACTGTCTGCACGACTCGGCTGATAGTCATTGTACACACCTGCTCTATCTAGCGTCTTGAAGGTACCATTTTCCACCTCCACGCCAAGAACCCAACCCAGCCACGCAGCGGTCCAAAGGATAAAGCCGACCGATCAATATGGGACCCAGTTGATGAGCGCCTGGCTTGGGCCAGAGACCTCCCCCCCTGGAACAAAAGGCGTAAGTACTTCTCTTACTATATGTATGATCTTCACTGACATTATACGCTGTCGTAGCTTTTACAGATGGATCATTAAGTACGACAACCGAATCTTCACAGGCAAAGAGACCTTTGAACGTATCAAAACATCCAATGACATTCAGATTATAACCCAAGAGGCCTTAAAGGAGTGGATCATGCAAGGTGAACCACCATTAGCATGATAAACAATAATATACAACGACCTAAAAACATGTAAAGGAAGAATGATTTTGAAGACTCGTGTCGCTTCTTTCATTAACTTCTTCATTCATCTGATTTCAAGTTTCTTTAACACCTTTTCCAACTACTTCATAACCTCTTCAGCAGGAAGATCTTGTAGTTATTTCCTACCTACTACATACAATTCATCTGGCTAAAAGCATGTTTTGTGAAATTCGGTCTTTTGAAATGAAAGAAAAAACAATCCCATCGATGCTTTGTAACGTTCACTGCATTCGTATCGTTTCACCGTAGCTTTTCACCGCAAAAGCGGTCGAACGATACCGTACCTGCGGCCCTCTCGCTGATTCTGTTCCAGGCCAGGAACAGCGAGGCCACGTGTCAGTCTCGTTCCGGCCTTGAACTCACTGTTCAGAACTTCCCTGGAACAGTTATTGAAATGGTCTCGGGCGGATTCACATCCAGTGATTGATCCGTCCAGGAATCAATCCTGTTCGGTCCCCGCTGGACACGCTCTAGGCACGTCCCAAATCAATAGAAAAGTGACACGTGCCTGTGACGCTGTCGATTCAGATTTGGGACGTGCCATTTACCCCCTGGTGTAGTAAGATCAACTGTGCCATACCCAAATTCCGAGCACCATGTCTATAATACCTCCCTGAACTCAAACAGATCTCGACATCAAGACACTTAAGGATTTCTCAAGACTGTGTCGGTCAAGAAAGTCTCTTTCAAGCTTCAAACGACTCGCAAATATTGAATAGGCGGTCAGCCAATCTGAAAGACCCTGTTCAGCCACTGTTGAACAAAGACACAAGGAGATGCTCTCCGGATAAAGGCATGAGCGATCGAGTAGGTACTACTTTGGTTCCCCATCAAGTTGGGAATATTATATTTGCATCTGAAATGACAGCTGAAGAACGACCGGCTGATGTTGGTATTTTTATGATCATGTATTTTTTACTCACGGAACATGTTTTTCATGGTTATCTGATGTAGAACTGCCCAAGTCCGAATCCCGCCTCAAGAGTTAAGACTACAGATGAAGACTCCAAACCTTGTCGCATGCAAAAACTTTCATCGTGGTATTTGAAAAATCCACATCAAGCCGAGGATGTTGAGATCGGGGTCCAAAGCGCAATGTAAGCAAATCCACAAAGCATTGCAATGGCACTGCCCAACTTCCTTGACTCTGGCCATGACACTCGGAACCATTTTTAGTGCATTCAGCGTTATGCCTCATTAAAATCCCTCTCTCGACTCTCGAGTGGAAAGGAGGGAGCTTGTAAAGATCTGGAAATCGTGGTTGTCTCGGCCGCAATCCTAACAGTTCTGGTATGTAGACTTTCCACACCGCCATCACCTGCAATCTGGGATATGATTCGCAAAATTTCACCTTTAGCCATGCTATGGATTGCTCGGGAGCGCTATGTCCACACCCCGTGGGACCGTGTCTGTAGACTTGGTTTGAACTTTGCAAGACTCCAAGCGTGATATAGAGGTGTCGTAAGATAACTTATGATCACTTATTGATCTCCACTCGGTACGCTTCCGGTGCAAGTTCTCCTTCAGCTTTTCGAGAAGACAGTACCCTTATGTTTTCTTTTCAATCTCATGATTAGACAAGTGCAAGGCGATGAGGACGTGTAAAATTGATGAAGATGAACAAACAAATCTTGCATCATCAATCAAGACTTTGTAATAGCTCTGTTCAGGACAGTGCGGAATCAAAAAGAAACCGACCTCCAGGCGGTGCAAGAACATTGCCTTACTGAGCTAAGAAACATTGCCTCGTTTTACATCGTTGTCAGGCTAAAGAAAATCTTGGAGTGGGCACCAAAATCGTGTGATGAAGAAGACAGTGCTTCCAAATATATCCTTGATCAAAAGTTCTTGTCTGCGTGATCCAGAAAGGATGGTAAGGTATAAAAACCCAAGGCTTTTGAGCCATTTACGAAGCTTTTTCATCTCATCTTGATAATTAGATATCGATTTCTTGAATCATACAAATCTTGCTTTTTAACACACTCTGAAACGTTTTATAAATCCCTTCCTAACGATCTCATCCTAGAATATCTTTATAATCCTTCAAAATCCAAACATTATGCGCGTCTCAATCAGCTTTGTATTACTTACCCTTGCAGGTGAGGAATCGATTCAAGACGTCACATATGTTGACCTAACTGTTGCTGAATCTTGTTCTTGCAATTTTATTCCTAGTCATCGCTTCTTCTGAGGTGAAAACTAGGTATGAAAAAACTACTTACTTTCCACACTTTAGTTTTGTTATCTGATATTGACATTTGGATCAAATCATTAGGCCAGCCAATGAAGTAGCTCGTCAAAACCTTGGAAGTCTTCAAGAACCTCGCTTGATGACCCGATGTGATTCATGCGGAAGTAAAAGTGCGACTGATGCATCAACATACGGCGGTAGCAAAGGAGACACTGTGGTAGATTCGAGATCGTCAACTTCGGCTGACCAATCAACTCCTGGATCCACCCCACCGGCCAGTGTTTCGAAAGTCCCTGGTAGTAGCAATGCTGACACACAGGCTGCTACCAAAAAAGGTAAGTTGACGATAATCAAGAGAGACGTGGTGATTGTGATTTCTGATCTGATTCATTAATCCAGATACTTCCACTCTGGATAGTGGAAAAGCCCAAGCTGCTGGGACCGCTACGACTGATCAAGCCGGCGGCACCACACAGGCTGACAACAAAGTCGATGGTACTGATACGCCCAGTGACACCGGTACAGCTGCTCAAACCCTTGACTCGCAAAATTCACAAAACACCAGTTCCTCGAAGACAACTGCCAATCAATCTGCCGCAAACACGGTGCCTGGAGGACTCGCCGATCAAAAATCTGAGAGTACTCCAGACACTCAACAAACCACAGGTACTCAAAGTACTCCATCCGGAGCTACTGGGAGGACTCAGCTAGCCCAATCTGCTGATAGTACTTCAAACAATGGTGCTCAATATGGCCAAAACAATCAGCAAGCCATTGATACCAGCACAACTACTCAATCCCGCGATACCACTAGAAGTTACCAAGGATTGGTTGAGAGCTGCCAACAACTACTCCCTAGATTCATCAGGTTTACTCAAATCGTTTCACGACCTGATGTAGATTACAATTCTGCGCTACAAGAATTTGCCTCAATTCGAAGCCAATTTGAGGAAATCGTGAAGACTTATTCATCATGTGGTGGTGGTTGTGCTCAAAATCAAGATCTCGTAAGTGTTTTCTTTTTATCTTCCATCGTTGTGGGATTACAATTTCACTTATTTGGTGAATTTATCCACGAATCCTTCATTTATAGGGAGTCTTACAAAGTGTTATCAATCAATTGATTGCTCAATTTTCTGGTTGGATCACAGCTTTCAGTCGTTGGAGTTCCTGGAGTGCCGTATTACAGCGTAGGTTTTATATAAATTTTGATTTTGGTTTCCTTCCTGAAAATGCTACGTATAACATATATAATCAGATTATCCAACTGACGTTGTTCGACAAAAAAAATCCAGCTCACTGGCAACCATTCTGTAATTCACTCGAAGATTTTGTTAGATTGTCTAGAAGTATTGGTATTAATACCGCTCAAGTCTTTCAATCTTATAACCTTAACCCAACAACTCTACAAAGCTATCAAATCAACGCAGCGGGCTTCTTTTGATGACTCAAAGATCTAACTTTCTTGATCTTTTCTCAACTCTTAGAGGCTCTTCTTGGTGATCTCTCGAGTTATCTAAAAATTGATGTGAACTATTATGATTGTCATGAAAAGAGAAAGGTAGAAGTGATTCTTTTTGTTAACTATCTCAACTCGCTGTATCTTCTTGTCGTATTCAGATGTAGGGGTTTTCAATTTTGTTTTCATTCTGCAAAGCAAATATAACAATTGTTGGACAGTTTAAAGACTCTTAACTTGCTGGCTCTCGTGTTTGAATGATTAGTCTAGATTCTCATGTCAAGACTCAAAGAAATAAGAGTAAGCATCAAGGCAGGAACATGTTTTATGGTCACAATCTTTTTGATCCATACCCCTGGATTGGGTTGCGATACCCATCGCTTTGGCGAGTTTTATTGCAAAGATGAGGTTGGTGGAATATACCCGAGCCATGGCGGGACCAAGATTCTTCGGATGCGGCATCCAAGGCATCCTGGCTCGGGAGCAGGGCGGATACTGACGAGGACTCCTCGGGCTCGAACAGATCCGAGTCAAATTGTCTGCCGGTGCCATGCTATTTATGAAACAGATGCACACCTCAAGTAACTCAGATCTTGAATGAACATCATTGCCGGGAGCATATCAAGGTAAGAAGGCAGTGTTTCCTGCATCAAACATGCGCGCTACATCTTAAGAGACTCAGTGGATCAGATCACGAACAAGAAACATGTACAGGAAAGATATATCCATAACCCTCGAAATCACTTCCAATAAAAGACAATCACAGATGAAAAAACACACACATGACTATAGAATAAGATATACAAGAAATCCTACAAAAAAAACTGTAAACAACAAAATATTCACATATACATTTTGAAAATAAAGAGAGACGAGGCATGCAGAAGTACCTAATTTTTGTTTTGAGAAAAAATATATAACACTGAAAATTGAACTTTTGACAAAAATCTTAAACAAGAAGAGCACTTTGATATATACACGACCTAATCATAACCAAGTAACAGAAAAACCCTTGAGGGGGGGTAGAAAAAACACACTACGAGGTGACCAAGCTTGACTTCTGAATTATTGAACAGCCAAATCATTAGCTCAGAGAGGAGTAGCGAAATCAAGATCAGGGTATAATGACCAACGATAGATAGTAGAGCTTGGCGAAGTTTCATTAGAAGAGTAAGAATGAAGATTAGACGGCGGAGCAAATCTACCAGTAGGAGGCGGTGTAAGCATTTGATTCCCTCTACCTGACATGAGATTTTGATGAGATCTAGATTGTTTTGGAGAGAAAGAAGAAGGATCTTGATTGATGGAGGTAGCTGGGCTTAAAGGAAGTGGAAAGTTGGATGGATGTAAACCAGCTTCTGTCAAACTAGGAAGCCCTCGAGTCAAGGGTGAAAACGGAGGGATCCTTTCGTTCATAGAATATAAGTCCGAGGTCAAAGGTGTGATTGGAGGAAGTCCACGCATCGAAGCAGGAATAGCAGACTCGAAAATGTTATCTCTATCAAACGACCTAGCAGATGTAGTGTCAGAATCCGGTGAAAGGGTGTATGATAAGGGCGAAGGAGGTCCGATGTCGAGTTGCAATGGATGAGGATGATGCGCAGGGTATACCCGGGTGCGAGAGGCTTGTGAATCTGAAGCCTCGGTGTCAGACGTCATCATATTATTGTTTTGTTCTTCTGCTTTGTATCTAGCATCAGACCGAGAATCTGATCCGGTATAAGGGGATGTCGGTTTATCAGGAAAATCAGATCGTGCTCGAGGTGTGTTCGCAATCCAACTCGTTTCCTCGCTTCCGTCTCTCAAATCATGTAGATGTCGATTCCAATGCGTACTACGAGCACTCAATGGAGGTGGCTTAGGGGGCTCTCCGATAAACTTTCCACCGGCATATTGTCGTTCCGGAAGGTTGGCAGACTCTCGATCACGTACCCAGCGAGCAGAGAGTCGTCTTCGTGTTGCCCAAGCATCCGGAGTAAGGGCCGGATTGTCTCCGGTGACAATCAGCTGGACAGCTCGAAAGTCTAGCAAGGATTCTATTGGACGATGTTGTCCTTGTTTGCAGATACGTAAGATGTCGTGAGTGATATCATTGCGACTTTCAGGGTCCCCTCTTCCGTCGCGAATAATCCAACTTCCGGCTTCAGGCCACTTAGACAAGAAATAACGAGCGGTTTCCTCGCGGTAATGCTCAAGAGAGCGTGCGAGACTGCGGAGATATGCGTTTCGAAGAGGCGTGCCGTTGGTCACATCACCCATAAGTAATCTAAAGAGTAAGAAAAATGAAACTTTGATGGGCGTGATAGGCCAGATTGGTATAGAGGAGAGGGTCATATAATCTGCGTATTGACGGAAAGATTTGATGCTGCCTTGCGGGATGTGCTGTCCAGCTCTTCCAGATTCGTACAACTTGACCAAGTCCTCATTCTCTAGATGTTTTCGAGAGTGATAAGCAAGAGTGCAGAAGATCAAAGGTGAAGGAAGTAGTTACAGCATCAGCGATGATTCAATCTATGGACGCGTTCAGTAAGCTATTCAACGAGGAGAACATGACGTACCTTCGCCTCTTTCTCGGATTACGCGCAACACGGTCTCACCATGTTCGACTAGGTCTGAAACATTACACACTGGAGGATGACCATGAAAAGGGATATATGAACGCGTTGAAGCTTGAGATGTCGTAGCGGAATCCATAGCTTATGTGAAGTGTATAAATCAATCCAAGAGAAAGTGCCAAGAAGTAAAATCAAGACTGATGCAATATAGAAGAATTATCAGACCTCAACAGAATCAACTAAAACAAAAAACTAACGGACTAAGAAGTGGTGAAGCGAAAATGAATGATGAATACTCAAATACAAACAAGAAGAAGATGACGTTTTTTTACGAGAAAGATGTTTAGCGCGTAAAGCTGAAGTCTTCACCACTCTCTCTTATACTCTTTACTGTTTTCAGCTGAACAACATATCTGGTACATGCTTTTCCCCAAGTAAAGGCATTAGTACCCACCGGAGATCTAGGATGATACGAAGTGAAAGGCCCAAGCGTCCTTGATCAAACGCTTATCCTTTTTTTTCAATGGCAACTTTGTACACAGACCCAGATGCAGAGCTCGAGCCGGGATCAAAGAGACCGTTGATCTTGGCCCTTGTTCTCTTGTAAACAAATAATTTGATCATCTCATCCCCACTACCCGCATCAAAGGATAAAGGGATCTGTATCGTCTTGGGCTGGGGACCCACCAACAACTTACCATAACCAGAAAAAAATCTGCCGAGGTAAGTTTTAGACAAGATAAACGCCTGTTTGATATCGAAGTCAAGACAATAGTTTTTTCGTGGAGATACCTAATTTTTCCCTCCGAAGGCTCTCGAGAGGATCATGAAGAGGAAAAAAGGGACTTCACAAAGGTAAGGCTTGAGGATTTTTCTTCTAGGATCCAACTCGAAGCTTTAGGTAAATATTGATTATCTTCATATGAATTGATGCATTTGACGTCTTTGCTTACTTAACCATATTAACAAATTGGGTGTGAAACGATGGGAGGTGGACGCCACACAGGATAAGAAAGACTCCGAAGACATATTTTCCAGATGAGTTCAATTACATCACCTTCGATGCCTTTCAGTGATTCCTTTAAGCAAACTCTGAAGGATATGATGAATTTGAGTATTAGGAAAGTGGATCACTAATTCCCCGGTGAGAGAAGACGCGAATCCATTACACGGATGTATGAAGCGCCTTGTATTGAGGTTATGGAAGTGGGATTCAAGTAAGGCAGAAAAAAAACCTCCAAACGAAAAGTAAGTGCAATTTGACTGTATCAATCTTGCCAAGGAAGCTCAGGGCATAGGACCAAACGGGATTACCACAGCTAATTTTATCAATACACACACAAACACAAGTATAAAGGGGAAGAAGAGTAGATGGCAGATATCTGTTTGAATGAGGAAGATTGTCCTGGCCGCACATAAATATGGATCGCCGGTTTCGGGGTCCGAGCGCGGTGAGAGGACGGCTCTCTGCAGCTAGAGTTGTGGGTGCCTGCCAGTCTCCCAGAACTCATCCTTTGCCTTCATTCTATGAAACCCACCCCGATCATCAGTGTGGTTGAAACAAAGTGTGATTGATATTTGGAGGCAAAAGCTCAAGAGCTGCAGGTACGGATTCGGAACCAACCGAGATTGATTGACTCAGTGCGTCGTCCACGATAATGATAGTCTAAGTGGCCGTGAATCCATGAAGCAAGCGAGAGAAGAGTTGAGAGACACAGCCGATGCAGTCATAGAGGCTTGCACTTTGAACATGATGATGAGGATTTGCACGGAATAAGTGGGCAAATCCGTCAAGCCACTGAGCTTGCTTTTCATAAATCCAGTATTTATATGACGATCGAATCTTCAATCGGTGTTCGTATTCTCATTTATAAGCCGCGACTGGCCGGACGCTAGAGTCGATTGTCAAATTAATCGAAAGCAGATTGAGAGCTTCCGTGTAAAGGGGGCGGAGAGGAATTCAGGTCTCAAGACGGGTAGGGAATCAGTGGGGATGCGTCGCATCTTCGGAACTGATCTGAATGATGAGTAGTCCATTAAGCTGAATGTTGAAGAGCCGGAGTAGGAAAGACTTCTACATTTGAGGGCCCCTTCAAGGCCCTCTGCAAGACGATGTGGGCTACGTTGCTCAATCATCACAGCTCCAAAGGCCATGTCAGCCTATGTTCTCGTCTGCAGGCTTCTTGGTTGGATGTGAGACATAACTGAATGGACTAGAAGCTGGCAGTACAGTTGAGAATTGACCGGAGGCGGTCATTGAACTGACCACCCGCTGAAGAGATGTTGTTGACGGATTGTGAATCGCATTCGCAACGCAGGATTCGGTAAGGAGCCGCTGATTGATGTAAATCCCAGCTTTTATTTTGATAATACAATACAGTTGTACCGCTGAACTGTAACAAAAAGTGGATGAGAAATAAAAAACGTGAAAGTGCAAACTGTTATGTAAATTCAAAATTGACTCATCCAAATAAAAATTAAAATTAAACTGAGTCTTGAAAGTTTCATTTTGCTCATTAATCAAGGACTGACCATCTCACCAGACACAGTCACTTCTGACCACACACACTTCCACTGCCCTCAGATCTGAGCTGAGATCGGTCGGCTCAAACACCGATTGTCAGAAACTGACTTTCAGCCCACCCAGCAGCAATCAAATCTCACTTAGCGCTTTGGTTGATTCACATCATTTTGCAATCAATCATTCCCTATCATCTTCTCAATTCATTCTCCACGCCTTGCTTCAATTCCATCTCACATCTATATTACATAAATTTTGACTATCACTCCACAATAATTACCTCTATTTCGTTGAATCTTGCTCTTCCTCTGTTTATGGTCTTAGAACCTTTTATGAGAGAAATGCGGGCAAAATTGTCGTTCGACTTTACTGAATCGTCTTCAAAGTACGGGTAATGGAAGGAGAAGCTTATATGTAAATGAATCAAGCTAATTCAGTAAGGAACCAACCAAGTCAAATCTTTGAGACTACCACTGAACAAAAACCCACAATTTCAAACATTGTGATATATTCTTCACTTTTTGAGGATTTTTGTTAGCCATCCTACCAGCAAAAAAAAGAAACATGTCTTCCAGATAATTTCACAGCTTGATCGCGGTCTCAAAGACCCCTCAATGTTAACTATGTCTTTGGTTAGATATGGGGTATTGGCTGTCTTCAATCTTGCTTTTCTGATTTTTCATTATTCCAATCTGGTTGTTTTGTTGTTGAGAGTCTTAATGGAAATCAATGAGGTAAGTCGTACAACAGCCATGCTTTTATGGGCGCGTGCGCAGGAGGAGAACTCAAAAGCTCTGAATTATCACTCGGGTATGCATCAAGCAACGATTTTTGTCTCAATCGAAGTAAATCGCTGTATATTGACCGTATGCTCTTGGATGGTTCTGGCCCACTCTCGATGGAAATGCAAACCCAGATTGAAGATTGATTCCACATACATAGTCAGTGCAATTCTTGACAAAGCGGCCATACACAAAGCCTTTGAACCCCGTTCCGCATCTCCACCAAAGCTTCAGACTGGGCTGCTTGCCTCGGACTCTGATGTCATCAGCTCTCCATGAGCTGGCTCGGTTGGTGACTTAATGAATTATGTGAAGATAAGTTGTAGAATAATTGTCGAGTTGAAATCAAGCTGAGGTGTGGACAGTGATGAAAATTGATTGTTGACATGACGAGATTGAGCTGGAATTTTGAGCTCGAATTGCAGACATGAACCGGATCGATTTCGGCTGATCTCGACCAACTTCACTTCGCCTTGTTCCGTGATGATATAATTTTCATTCTCCTGGTCTACACTCATTTTGGGCCGTCGTAATTCTAACATATTCGATAATCTGTTTTCTCACAGACCTCAATCAATCTGGGAGGGTTATAACTATGCTCCTGTCGATGGCTCCTTTGCCGTTACTCACCAGTACATCTTTATTCGCCTCGTGATCGTTGGTTTCCTCGAAGGAACATTTTTATAACACCTTTAATAATCAATTAATAATTTTTGCCTTTGTTTCTTCTGTGAAGATAGTTGTACTGCTAGTACTCACCTATAGTTGACATTGAATACCATTCCTTTCGCCTTATACTATATACGAAAACATTTCGAGAATGTCAAGAGCAATGAACCAACACACCTCTCCGCAACTCTCAGTGCCTCAGGAAGTTGATAACAGAAATCCATTACAAACCGGCGAGTCACCTATGGTCGAAGGTCTTTCCACATACCCACCATTTCAAAACGATCAAGAAACCAGCAAAATTTTGGTCAACAAAGATCACGACGAAGACGATGATGACGACAAGAGAACGTTAATCGACCCCGATGTACTTCGCGATGTGTAAGCGCATTTAATCCATTCTTATGCACCCATCCCAGCAGAGATTTACTGATGACTTCCTTTTCCGTAGCATTATTGGTCTAAGTGATGGGTTGACAGTTCCTTTCGGGCTCACGGCCGGATTGTCTTCTTTGGGGTCTTCGAAATTAGTCGTGGTCGCAGGCCTTGCTGAGGTATGTCATGAATTACTTTATATCATGAAGTCGTCCACATGTTTACAATCGCTATCCAACTTTCACAGCTCATTTCAGGCGCCATCTCCATGGGCATCGGAGGCTATCTCGCTTCAGAAGCAGAGCGAGATCAGTTCCGCTACATGCAAAGAAAGATTAGAGCTCGTGTCGCTCGTTCGACTCCACAACAAATGGAAACCAAAGTTGACGCAATCTTGGCACCCATGGGAATTCGATCTGATATTTCTAGCGCCGTTGCCTATGATCTACTCCAAGTCGAAAGCCAATTCGAACTGATTCCAACCGAACCTCCTCGTACTGGACTCTGGAACACATGCACAAACATGCTGTCCAAAAGACGTGAATCTTACAAGTCAATCTCAAGCCCAGAAGAAGTCGAAAATGGTTCGACCTCCGAGGCAGGCTCAGAGGATGCAGGCATGACAGCTTTCCTTTTGAAGTTTGGAGAGGGACAAGAAGAAGTTCCTACAATCCGTCTGTACATATCCGCTTGTACCATAGGTATCGCTTATTTCTTAGGTGGTCTCATCCCAATGGTAAGTTTCCGCCTTTCATCAACGCTTGTGTCTTACAACCAGCTCATCAACAAAACAACTCTGTTTCTCAGGCCCCATACTTTTTTGTTGAAAAGGCTCGAGACGCGTTAGGATGGAGTGTCGGGGTGATGACAATTACTCTCATCATCTTTGGGATTCTCAAGGTAATGCTCTTCCATCTGCACCTAAACACTCCATCGTGATAACTGACTATGCGTTTCTCAGGCCTACTTCACTGGTGCCGAAATAGGATTTTTTGGCTACATGAAGGCGAGCGCTTCGACTATTGTGGTAGGAGGTGCAGCAGCAGCAGCCAGTTATCTAGTCGTTGCAACTTTGGAGAACCCTACCACCTCGATGGCCAACCCCTTATGATCAAGAAAGGTTTAGATAATAATGAGTTCTCAACCCACATTGTACCATTCTGTGAATTCCACACGTCCTTTTTAGTTCTACAGACAAAATGCAGGCAAAGAAAAGAAACACAAACTTGATAATAGATTTTGATAACAGCATGCCGTTTTAGACCTCCTCGAGCTCATGAACACTCTCGCGCAACGCAATACAAAAATTTACACATCCCAACCCACACGGGCACCTGAGCATAAAAAAACTTTAGCTACATTGCCCACAGGGAGCCCCCTTCAACCTCAGCCCATGCGTTGCGTTTTCATCATGCTGGAGCTATTTGGAGACACAATGTTCTTGCGCTGATGGACAAGTTACTCAACTTCGATGTGTAACAAGAGTTATATTTTCTTCTCCTTGTATGCAGCCTGACACCCGCGATGTGCGCCTATCACCAAATAAGCTATAAATTGATGTTATGTACATATTCTTAAAACTCAGTCCGATTGTACCTCTGGAAAATCTGAGTAGATCTAAAAGTCATCTCAACCTGCACCCCAAGCGTTATCATTTTGGGCTTATGGAAACTTATGAGTGGCAAGAAGCTTATCCAAATAATAGTTCAGGGTAAGTCAATAATTTTGACAGCCAATTTTCATTATACATATTAAAAAATTGAATCATCTTTACTGAGGGAGTACTACAAAAAACTTGGTGGAAAAAAAATCAATGCTGGTTTGTCGCCGGAGAGATCTAGGGGTAGTTCTACAAGGGGAGCTAAAGCACATGTCGGGTGCCCCAAACTGTCTTGTAAGCATACAGAGGCTTAAGCTACCACAAGACGAATCAAAGCGTTGAACCAATGTCCGATGGATATGCGACGTTTGATAGGTGGTCTTTTGTCCACAGAGCTCATAGGTGAGCGTAAGTATCCGGTCTGTATGGGCCGAGTGGGAGACGGGGGAAGGTACGAGGCTTCTTGCGTTCTAAGCCCTTTGACTTTCCTCGTCTCATCTGGTGCAGACTGCGGTCTGTGGAGTCTGGGTCGACCTTCCAAGGTGAAAGATGGTAGAGACAACTCGGCTACAAATGGGGAAAGAGAGAAAGCAAGTTTAGTGTATATTCTACGAGTTAGTTATAGTAAGATCAGATGGATGATTCCCGGTTGATGCGTACGTCGTTGATCTGATTCTCTTTTGTAAGGCTCGGGCTTCACCAAGTTAGATGGGACAGGGTGCGATGGATTCGAGGATTCGGAGTGGGGTTTTGAAAGAGGAAGAGCTGCAAGAAGATTCGAAGGCGCAAAGAGTATCAGCTCCGTATAGTTGGATAAATCTGCCTGGATTATGTCGCCTTATTTGAAGTTTACATCACATACCAGAGTAGTGAAGCTGAATCCGTGGCAGTTGGGCTGTGGTCTGTTGCATGACCAGAAGGAAGGCCACTGATGCAAATTTCAAAAATGTGGTTGGGAAAAATGCAAGCATGATGATGGAATCTTTGTGTGATGGAATGTGAAAAAAATGTAATGGATCTTGTGTCTTTGATGAGGTGAGGGATGGGAATGAGTTTGAAGACCTGAAGCAGATGTCCTTTTAATTGGGATTTTTTCGAAAAAAAAAACGCGTACATACCGTTCAGCTCTGCTGTAGCTTGTTCGCGACTGTATGATAGCTCGCGTCCTGCCCGCTGCACAATGCGCATAGCGATGTTTCGAAAGCTCACCCTCGACCTTTGTAGCTCATGGGATACGTCCCTTGCCGTGTGCACCTGTCCAGCACGCCTTCATGAGGAGAAAGCAGGGAATTCATACGTGTATCGAGTCACTTATTGATGTAGTTCGATAGACAAATGACAACTTATGGTGAGGTAGTCGAACTTGAACTGGTGAGGAAGTTACATAGATTGAGATTGAGTGTGATGTGGAGAGAGAACATTTTCATGATAGAAACATCATCAAGACATAAACTGACTTGTGAGTCAAGGCGAATGAAAAAGTTCATCAGGTTTAGCCATACACAGCCAAGTACTGCGAGCAATAATGAGTAATAAACACAGTGAAGTACTTTGGACCTCATGAGTACCCATGACGTCCGAAATCGACCAGGTCCTGAAGAGAACCAAGTTACACCGGGACAGACCGGGACTCTGTGTGCATCCCTTTCTTTGAAAAAAGTACTTTTGGCTAAATTGCATATACCGTAGGACGATAAGTTTGCTTTAAGTAAGGCAAAAAAATCAGAAGAAACAAACGGTTCGGCTGCAGGATCGATGATGGCTTCCAAATCGCAAGAATATCCACAGTTCTCTCATCGAGCAAGTCTGGGCGAGTTAATCGCAGTCGCTGACGTTGAAATCCCTCTGACCTCCCTTGACCAGCGTTTTTTGTTGCAACTTTTCTCATGTATGGATCAATACTTTTCTCAAACCACTAATAGCCTTCAAGATTGTATCATTTTTGCTTCCAGTGTAACGAAGCAGGCTAAAGCTCAGTAATCAATTGACAGTCATACTATTCACGTTTTTAGTTACTTTTCGGTCGTCCCACAAACTGCGCTTCTCTGCCTCAAAGGTCTCAGCTTCAGTATATACAATGTATAGCGGAAAGCTCGCGACCAGGCCACTGGTGCAAGGCGTGTTTCGAATCGGCAGTACCGCAGTATGGGGGGTGAATCAAGCTTCAAGCTGATGTAGTGTTTCGAATTCAGGTCTGCTTGTGTTTGAAGATTGCGTGGCATTTCCCACTTGATCGTCTCTCATCTGCTACAAAGATCTTACCGAACGTTCCCCAGTAAGGGAACTCACCAATCAACTTACACTCCTTTATCTCGATACATTCCTTTCACACAAATATTACCTCAAAATGAACCCAGCAAAGATACTCGTTCATCTCGTAACTCTTACTCTATTCTCAATCTCCATCTCGATTTCTAAATCACATCGGAAATGTACAGCAACATTAAACTCAGCTGCCTATGGAAATTCTTGGGAAAAACCAAATGTGAAATGGAAAAGTCCTAAGCATGCTACAGAAGGAATCGTAGATGCAACCGTAGAAGGAAGAATCAAAGCACCGACTGATCTAGGTGGAACGACCAAAAGTCATATTTGCTATGCTCAAACTAGGGTTAACTTGACTGATTGTAGTATGGTTTTGGGAACTAATACGACAGGTTGGAATCCGTAAGTCATGTTGAAATCTGTTTTTTCCACAAAATTCATGGAGAACTTGTTTATCTGATCAATTCGGTTGTGAATGATATATATCAGACACTCTTCTCCAGTCTACACTAGTCCCGATACATGGTATTTCAACGACACTATCTCTTTCAGACCCGATTGCCCTGAGAGCATCTATCTTGAAGTTTACGAGAACCATTAGGATCAGGATCAGAATCATTCCTCAAGTTCTATTGTCATCTACTCTTTCGAAAACCTTTTTTCAGCTTGTGTACCCACATTTCAGCAAAACCAAACTTATCAATGTCCTTCATTCCGGAATGCGAGATGGCTTTATAACGTGTATCAGAAGGATAGCTTTTAGAGAATCAGATTTTGTTACCTTTAAAGCTCTCATCTTTTATCCTTCAATTCCGGTAGTCTGTGAAAGGATTCAATACTATAGCTCGAACTTTCCATTACAGTTGCGATGTAAAGTTTGTGCAGTGCCCTTGCGCAAGACTAACTTGAAGGAGGAGGTAAGAAGCGTACCCAACCCACAACATATATTATATATACCTATGGAAGCTGTGTGATAGACTCTCCTGGCATTGAGGTTGCAATGAAAAGTCTGATCGGAGAGCACCCCCTCTCATAAGGTTCGAGTTACCTTCCTATCTGGCAGATTGTAGCGGGCTTACAGATAAGTTCAACTTATAATAGATTGGGATGAGATTTGAGTCGAGCTTCCCTGCTCTACCAACATATGCATGGACATGCTTAAAATCCCAGCTCAATAGAGCCCAGTGATCCATGGGAGACACGCCAGCGGTTATATGATATGATACAATGAAAACTTGACTTTCGCTAAATATCAGAGACGTGCTCCAAGCACGAAGTCTCCAAAGACCGTAAGGAGAGTTGGCCCAAGGAGAAAGAGAGCTATTCCACTGAGCTTAACTTCAGATTGGTGCGATGATTAGCTCTTGAACCCACCACTTCTCCAGACAGGGCAGTTAAATAAATACATAACCAATGCTAGATGGAAAATAACTGGCTATCTCTGTTCCTGGGCTGAATGAAGGTGCAAGCTCATTTTGAAAACTATCCATATCTACTGTTTTGTTTTCCCTTGATGCTTGATGCAAAGGGCCAAGATGTGTTAGTATAACATATTACAATGCTTGGGAGCATCCCGGATATACCTAAACTGTGATCAATATGCATCAGTTGAGCTCTCAAACTATCCATCCAAAATATAATTCCGATTAAATTGAGGTTGGAAGATTTTTGATACTTTCCAGAAGATGAGACCCTCAAGAATGTAAAAAAATGCAACTTTGAGGAGCATATATACCTACCTCAAGGCACTCGGGACCTATCCTTCTCTATCTGGAAAGAAATTGAAATTTCAATCTTTTTATCTTGCCTTGAAACTGAAAGTATCATGACTGAAAACAATTAGAAGTCCCTCATGGCTCTTGCTTTTTATGAGCTTTCAAAGTGGAAATGTATCAAGCTTGCAAGAATCTGGCTATCATTTCTGTGGGAGATCTGATATGATGTTAATTTTACTCACCTCACCTAACCAGGCATCAAAATTAATCAAAACTCGTGATCTTCCTCAGAATTGATCTAGAAAGCTTCTATGCTTACACTCTATCCCTGCCACTCTTGTGAAAAAAGCAGAATGAACACATGCTTATGTCCTGCTGATAAGATCACGCCTTACTATGGAAACTGTGAGTCTCTTTTTGAAGACTCCATTTCTTACAAAGTGCTTGTAATGCGTCATTATGGTAACTATAGGTGATTGCCAAAGATATACGTTGAATCATGGATGATATTTTTGATCTTGTGAACCATGTATACAGGTTTGTTACAGGCCTGTTACATACAGTCGATCGATGATGAAATCGTACACACACCACTTTGGTGACCGGTCTCGGTGACAAGAACAAAGGATCTCCGAGAGACCGGCAGTGATTGTATTTACAACTCATCATCATCATCAAAAGGTATTTCAACTTTCTCATTTCTCTTACTTACTTACCTTACAACATCTTTCTAACTTCTCATCATCTTTAGCATCATCATCCATCTTCAAATCTATTTCAAAATCGTAGCATCATGTCTTGGCAAAGTAAGTAGCTGATTCGAATCATACATTAGACCTTCTTCACTGACTTAAACCTTTTCTTTAATGTTTTGTTTGATACATCTTTATAGCTTACGTTGACTCCAATTTGCTCCTGACTGGTCACTTCTCCGACGCTGCTATCTTGGGTCAAGCAGGTGGTTCATGGGCATCCTCATCTAATTTTCAAGTAAAGAACCCATTTACCATTTTCAATTTGCATATACGCCACTCATCACGATTCATTCTGATGGGTTATTATACTTTATAGGTCTCGCCGGAGGAACAAAGTGCTCTTACTCGAGGTTTTGAAGACCAATCCACCGTTCAAGCTAGTGGGGTTCATTTAGCTGGTGTCAAGTATTTAACTTTACAAGCAAATGAGCGAAGCATTTATGGAAGGAAAGGAGTGAGTCTATTATTCATCATCAACCTACAGATCTGTTTCAGTCACCAACATATATCATCCGTCTGGACTAACCGTTCCTGCCTTTGAAACCTCTTTTGAATAGGGTGCGGGATGTATCTGTGTGAAAACAAAGCAGGCTATCATTGTAGCCATCTATAAAGCCGGTGCCCAACCAGGTACGGCCTACCCTAACCCTACATCGTTGCATTTGTTAACCAGCACTAAACTCAAGCTGACTATCCAACTAATTGTTGTTCAACCTTATCCAAATGAATATATAGGCGATGCAACCAAATGTGTTGAACAATTAGCAGATTATTTAATCGGAACAGGATTCTGAATGTTAAAAAAAGAATAGATCAATTTAATCAAAAAAACATTTGATCAAACCTAAAGAATTAAACAGAAGAAGACCTAAAGATCGTTCGCATATCTGATTTGTAATTCATTGAATTGTAGTTTTGAGCCAATTATCTCTCTTAAAATCCTCTTACCTCCCCCAAAAAAACCCCTCAATCATCTATTTTCTTTTTTTTACTCTTAGGCTTCAAGCAAATCAAAGTTAAATGGGCTTGAAAGTTCTACATGTACAAGCTTTTTTTTGTACAAGAGCAATTTTCTGTAGCTTGTTACCTGCTACTCTTTGAACCCCAGAAGTGATCGAGACTTCCAAATCATCAAATTCGAGCCATCAGCACTTCTGATTTCCTATGGGTTTCTGAGCTATGAATAGCAAAAGTTCCGATGAGACTTAGCTTGATCATCTAGTCAGTTTGATAAAATACCAATTTTGAAGCATTTTGGTGACAAGATTTGTAAAGGTCATGAAATCCCGTTTTGTGGTTTTCATGACCATGTCAGGTGATCTTGATAAAATTTGACTGGTGTTATGACTTATGGGCTTATTCAGTGCTACTTGTTTCGGGACTCGGTTGTTCAACTTCAAACTTAATTTTGAACTACGTTTTGAAGGGAAGAGAGATATAGGTTTGAATCAAGTCCTACATATAAGGGAGGATTAGGGAGGATTGGTACTTGGTGAATGGGTCGAGTGCCTTATGAAAATGTGTTCAAATATGTATCAGCTTCTATTATCAGCTAGGAGAATGCAAGTTTCGTAAATTGTTGTGCATAGTTTGAAGCACAAAATCCATGGATGCTGTTATTGGAAACTTTGAATATATTCCTCGTGTAACAAAACTAAACAACAGAAGAAACAAAATATATACAAACAGAGCATAAAGAATTGAAGATGTAAAATAAATTCGAAAATTGATAGTTTACTCATGGTCTCTGATCCAACTTGGAACTGTCCAATCTTCGTCTTTGCTTAACTCGCTATCGTCTGAACCTGGCACCGAGATTTCACTCTGGTCATCAGAAAAATCGTCTTCTTCTTCTTCAGATAAGTCTTCCTCGGAAATGTTAGTATCAACATCAGATAGATCTTGCTCTGGTTCTTCAACATTGGATAAGTTCAAGTCAGGTACTGCACCTTCGATAGCTGGTACATCGGTCTCCGCTTCATCAAGGGGATTTACCGTGTCTGTGTCTACGGTTTCGATATGAAGAGCCCCCAGGGGAACATCGTCCGCTTCCATGTGCTCTTGGTTTTGCTCGTCGACTTCCATTGGGTTTGCGGTTAAAGCTTCAGCTTCGGTGGTTTCCTGATGTAAGTTCTGACGGTGATGAAACTTGAAACTTATCTGTCTTTCACGGCCCCAATTCTCAAGCGAGATCCTTTGTTGATCTAGAGGGAAGATTTGTGAAAGAATGACCAACCTCAAGCTTGGCCAAGCGTTTGTGTCCTTTTCAATGCAATCCAACATTTCTTGAAGAGCCTTTCGGGGCCTAGCGAGATGGACGTGGAATTTTTCGAGCTTAGGGGCGCTTGATAAGGTTTTGAAGATATAGGGATTAACTTCGAATCCCGAAAAAGTAAAGCTCTCTAAGACTGGAAATGGATTTTGATCAGTGAGGGAGAAACCGCCAGAAAGCTCCATGGTTTGACCTTCGACCCGAATCTTCTTCAACGTCGGGAATCTAGATATGAATCCATAAAGCCCATCATTCTGAATGTTCCAGCAGAACTTCATAGATAGAACCTTCAAAGGACCCTTCCAGTCGAGTCTGGCCCATCTTTCATTTGGACCTTGAAGACATCCAAGAGAAAGATATTCTAATGAGCAACGAGAGGCGAGAGACTCACCAAGTTGTATGCTATCAGTATCATTAAGCTGCGAAGGAGCTTCTGAACTATGAGCTCGAAATCGAGTTAGATTGGGTAGTTGCCAAACACATTGAGCAATATCATCTTCAGCTATGAAAGAATAGCAAACCCCGCTAATGTCTAAAGAAGTTAGAAGGGGAAAATTGATTAGAGAAGACGTAATTTGTCTATGAGCGAGCCTGAGATGTTTAGAGAGTAAGTTATCGGGATCGTTGAGTATGGCGATCCTGGTAGCGTCGAGCTCAGCAGGAGTGTAAAGACGTATATGCTTTACCGTGCGTTGAGACAAATGATCTAGGAGATCTTTGAGATGAACAAAAGTATTTAAACAGGTCTGGTCAAAGAGGCCGTCCGGGGTGGAGAGAAGTACGCTAGCTTGCAACACGCGAACATTTCTGGTTAGGTATTCCGTATCTGAATGAGCCGCCTGCGCATCAAGATCTTGTGATTGGCTAAAGCGTATTGTCTATCGGTGCAAAGTTAACAAATTTCGTAAGGATTGTAGATCAGTATCCATTGTGCATCAAGGGACATGGTCCATAAAAATTGTGCTTACCTTCCAGCGAAAAGATTCGCAGACACGCCTTAGTTTCCAATTTACTTGAGATAGTGCCAAAAATGAGCGAGCTGTGAAATCATATGGAGTCAATCAACAGTGAATTAGCTTTGGGTGAAATGTATTGCATGAGACGAAGTTCTGAATTCTTTTTACCTGTTCCACTCCTTCCACTGTATGGATTACGGACTTGGACGAGCCCTTGACTATCCAAATCAATTAGATAGTAGATTATTGCTTCTTGAATCTCTGTGGGTAATTGGTCAAGCATCTTGTCAACGGTTAAAATTGAGCCTAGGATTGATGGATGTATTGAGTTTGATTTGTAGATTATTGTGAATGATGATTGGATAGAAATTATTGATCAATACTTGAACATTGGATAAATGGTGATAGCTTCTTATAACATATTGACCCACTCGTCCCATGGCATGGAAACATTTTATGATCACAGTGAGGGAATGCAAAAGCTTGTTCCCGTACGAAAACCGCATTTCGAGAAAAGTTCATTATCAACTTCAAGCGTAACATTGAAGCGTAGTTCTTCGGCCATTAAAAAGTGCGGCTGCTAATTCCTCGCCAGAATTCAAAAGTAAGTGATAATATATCATGGAAAATGTCACAAATGAAAGTCATATCGTTAGTTGAAGAAGATGATTACTTTTCAAATCGAAAAGCTATCTGGGTTTCTACTCATCAGCCTATGGAAGATATTGGTGTGCTTCGACCCGAGCCGTGTCAACTTTCCCAAATCAAAAGCTTCCAAAAGCGAAAATATGTCAGCTGGAACGTTTTTCCAAACCAAGGAATCATCGTAATACGTTTTCCTGCCTGAGGATATGCTGAGCAGAATCGACTCGGACTATACATGTACTTCATTCGATTCGGAATGGATGGTACTGGACAGCATCGTCTCTCATCAATCCGGTTCCTCGATGACCTGTGGGGCCTGATCTGCGATCCGCCGTAAAAACCGAGATGACATTTCTAGCGTCCCGCCGAGTTGTGTGTCTCAATATGATAAGCGCTGACATGACCGAACCCGGAAAGACGATTTCAGCCGTGGATGGGAGCGATTTGAAGTTGGTAGCGAGGGCGCGGCGAACGCGCAAAGAGGGGCTTATCTTAAGCTTAGTAGGCCTCTCATCACAAGGTCGATTAACCGATTCGAAACTCAAGGAAGAATGGTCAAGAGACCGACGGTTTCGTATACTTTCGTCGTAATTAATCAAACTGCAGTTTAGAGAGTCCTGTCTAGACTCTAAAATAATAATCCATTGCATTTCTTTCTTCGTCTCGCCCTGCTTGAAGTTACAAGGCAAGGTAACAATTTGGCAAGGATTTCTGTAAAAGGTAAAGAGAGCTTTTGATTGAGTTTCTCAATTAGTAAAAGACAAGTGGGAGAATTTTACACAGGGTGCTCCGAAGTTTTCTGAGCTCCAACCTCCAACACTTGGAATCTATTATGAAATCCAACAGCACTATCTTCCGATGTTATCGATTCATTTCATTTCCATCAACGAAATTTGCGAGCTTCTCCTCATGGAACTCCATGATACATACCATCACACTGCGCGCGCTTCAACACTTAGGCGCACGAGCTGGGTACATGAGCTCACAGGCGTCCCATGTCACGTGTCATTTCCTCTCAGTTCGTCCTCATCAGGCCTCACCTTAACGAGAATGATCACAGAGATCGAGTAGTCGACAATTCACGGTCATAGGGGAGAGACCAAGGCATAGATTTCGCTGATTAGAGGAGCAAGGCCTTTTTTCGACTCAGTACAAAAAGCCTATACAACATCCAAGTTCTTGTTCCAGTCTCATCATCATAGTTTTTTATCTTGCATTATTTATCATACTGGAATCTTTCGAGAAATGGTGAGTTTCACTGAAAGAATCTTACCGCCTGCAGATCATGGAGTTTTTATTTATTTGTCCGCTATCGAAAGGTCGACACAGTCAATACAAATATCACGGCCTTTCTAAGAGCACTCCCCCCGGATATCAATCCCTACGCTGCGTTGGTCCCTTACATCTACGCGCAGGCTTCAGCGGTAAGAGATATGGTTCCTCCCATTTTCTAGGTCTATTGTTCTCTGCTTCTGATAACTACAAAGTTGCGTTTGGATCACGGGATGTCTTCATTTTGAAAACATGATCAATCAAAAACATCCGGTCTCGCTCACCGAATGAATTGAAAATGGGTCGATAGATTTTTACACTCAACGATTTACACTCAATTTTGAGTGTAAAATCGGATGAGTGTAAAAATCTATCTACACGGGGGTCAAGTAGAATTTTACACTCAATATTTCGATTTTTCTCGAGTGCAAAAAATCAAGTGTAAATGATTCTGTGTAAAATCCTAAATGACCCGGCCCTAATTAGATTTTTACACCCAAAGATTTCACACTCAATCTTGAGTGCAAAATCTAGGAGTGCAAAATTGTAATTTCGTAGGCCAAATTCCAATTTTGCACTCCTAGATTTTGCACTCAATAAGCTTTGCAAATCACTGGAGTGCAAAAGTGTAAAGTCGTACCGCCAATTTACAATTTTACACATCACTTAGTGATCAAAAAAATTTGAACTTGAAAAAAATAGTTCCGATGAGAGTGTAAAGTGGCATTGTCGAATTTTACACCTCACTTACTGTTCAAATTGCGCGCAAGAGTGCGGTTGAGGCAGTTGTGTGTACTCCGCGTGTGTTTACTCGCCTCACAATGGATTTCCACCACTTATTTGCCAAGTTACATTACGTCAACAAGGCCCCCTAACTAACAACAAAAGATACAAACAAACAAAAAGAGAGAAGTAAGAAGGAAACTTTGACTCCTGTGCTTACCGTCACGATCATTGCCAAGTAGATGATTGGTTAACAACTTGTATTAGAACTAAAATTTGTGAAATAAGGATTGAAACAAAGACAATTTATCTCTTCTTCTTGCCCTTGGTGGCCTTAGCCTTCGGCTTTGCCTGAATTACCTCCGGTAATTTCTGTTGATCTTTTTCAGCTTTGGCGCGCTTCTTGGGTTGGGTGGCACCCTTGCCATTGACCACAACGGCTTTGGAAGGAGATACGGATGGGGATTTGCTCGGGCTATCATGTTGTGGTCGCTTGATACAAAGGCGCAATACATTGCCGGAATTGGTTGTGTCGGTCGGTTCGGTCTTCACTACTGATGAAAACCTTCGTGAATTACGTGAATTCACCCACAAAAACTAAAAAAAAAACATGCTACCTGATGACTCAAGATCTTCCTTCGCTTTCACAGACGCCAAAGCATCTTTGGCTTTCACAAGACGCTCGTTAAGTTCTGGTTCGATCTTGACCGCTGGGGGAGCAGGCAGAGCTGGGAGAAGAAGGACAAGACATGTTAATATCTTGATTTAGATACTAACAGATGGCCACATTTTGCAAACATACCTGATAATGAAAAAGCTTCCATAGCTTTCGCCAGGTTAACCTTGACATCCGGTTCGATCTTGACTGCTGGGAGAGGAGGCGGAGCTGCAATTAAGAGGTTATGTTAACCATTCGGATTGGATTAAACCCAAACAGATAAGCGTCATCAAACATACCTGATGATGAAAAAGCCTCCTTCGCTTTATTACCAATAAAGCCAGAGCCAGAAAGTGTTTGAGTCGCAGCAGACACCTCCAAGATCTGCTCCTCAAGACCTTCCAAGTCGGCGGCTGAGGTAAATGGAATATCACCGAGAGGATCAGGGTTCGCCTTCATGATCTTGGCTATACCACGATCAATAACGTTCTGTTCGTCGGTGCTTGGTTTGCGAGAGTAGACCAGCCAGCTGGTTGATGGTTGCGCTCCCGAAAGCAAGCTGAGCTCTCGACCGAGTAGCTGTGCTCGCCCATCGTCTTGGCGATCATCAAAAAACCAAACCCCACGAACACCCTTGAGATACCTGACCAATTTACACCAGTAATGGTTGTAGGCCCAAAAACCACGGGAAACAATGGTATACTCGATGTCATTGAGTTTCAAAACTTCAGGCCACTCCATCTCGTTCATGAAAGTGGCCCGATCGTCACCGGAAAGGCCAGCAACACCGCCAAGGTGGAAATAAACGTGCATTGGGTTCGTGGTGAAGTCCAAACGAGTTCGTTCGTACAAACGAGGCACATCACCGGAAGGATCAGTAGTGAGAATGTCGATGTCAGTGTCGTTAGAGGGATTGGGTCGCATCGAAGTCGTATCTTGCTGCCGATGGACAGCAAGACATGTCGGGCAACATCGTGGGTTCAAAGAGAACAGACCGTCGGTCTGCCAGAGAGCGATAAGCTTCAAGACTTCAGCGTATCGCAAGTTGGCCTCGTGAAAGAGATCGGTTGTAAGCACCACCACAGTTCGGATCGAGACTTCAGAAGTTTGATGAGAAGAAAACTGAGTGCACTGGTAGTCACATGCCATCTGGTAAGAGAAAAAGCGTCCCATTGATGAGGGTTGATTACGCCTGGAGGTGAGCAAGTGCTCAATGAAGCCGTCGGCGGAACAGAAGGTATCAGTCACGAAAGATCCCGGAGAGAGTTGTTGTACAGCAGATTGTAAAGCTTTGAGGCCACGCGAGAGGACAGACTTGAGGTGAGATCCCCGATGCATCTCAGCTGAGAGCCTTGAAGAAAAGTGTCGTATCAGTTTTGACACGATATCCTTACTCTTCCCGTTGGAACCCTCCATCCACATTGGAGAGAATGTTGGCAAAAGTGATTCCATGGCTGCCGTCTCCCAGCAGCGGTTTTGCTTTCCTGGCTCGGTGCTGGCTGAATAAGACTGGTACGAGGAGAAAGGGTCGCGGTGCACGTTGGTTGACCCAGCAGGGCGGCCAGCCTTCTTAGGTCGAATGAGTGAATCTGTTGTATCCGGAGGACGTGCGTCATTTTTGTCCGGTTGGCGTCGAGTGCGTTCTTTCGACCACCCCATAGTTTCCACCACAGATTCCCAGTTGCTACCGTACTTCACGGGAATACCACGCCGGAGCTGGTTGAAGTCTTTGTTCAACGATTCCACAAAGAGAAGCAACTGGACCAAACCTTGAACAAGGGTACAATGGCCAGAGCTTTCCATTACGCGGCAAGGTCAGTTACGGTTGAATACAAATGTCAGACAGATAGAGACCAAAGAAACTCACGATATGATGTAGTATTGTCGATGCATCGACTCCTGACCATTGGTGGTGTCAGGCAAGCCGTCATCGACTTCTTCTCCTTCAAGTGGTGGATCGTCAAGGGGTAAGCGGGTGCGAGAACAAAAGAGCATCAAGTGAATGTCCGCCGTGTTCCACCAGTCGAGCCAGGCCTTTGATTTTGGAAAAAGTCGACCGATCTGATCAAATTTCTCGGCTAGTTTCATTCCACCCTCCTTATCTGGTTCAAGGAGATCCATCGCTAGCTTTTCAAAGTTATTCTATCAAAACGAATTATGGAATAAGACAGGAGTGAGATGAGGCGAATGCAAGTGGAATAGAAGTCATGAATAAGAATAGATTTCAGAATGAGAAGGTGAGTGTTGTTGAAAACCCACCACTTGACTCGCATCGACCACGTTGCGATTCTTTTTGATGCGAGTAATTGATTGACGATAATGTTCTCGGCAGCCTTTCAGCTTATCCAAAGCCTTACCTGGGTCAGCTTCGTTGAATACCTCCATATAAGCTTCAATGAAGCCCTTCTTTTGCGCAACTGAGAAGTCGACAACCTGTTGAGTCAGGAGATCTTGTTCGTGATGAGTGAGATCGGCGTCCTTGATCTGATTCAGGAGTGTCTTAAAGTGGGCCCTATAGTGAGCAGTCTCAAGGCCCCACAACCAGGTGAGCTGGATTGGGATCCATCGGGTCATGATGTCACTGTACATCGAGGTCGTTAAGAGGTAGCCGTTGTGAAAAAACCGGTAGGTCACGTCGGAGAGAAAGCCTCCGGAGTACGTTTTACCATTTTGGTCGCGTCGGACAATCTGTTCAGCCATCCATTCTGTCTGGAAAGTGATATGTACGTTTGACCCTAGAAGGGACGTCGAAATCAATCTGAGGCCGTTTCTAAAGACAAAGACCAAACAAAGACCAAAAAAGAAGCGAATACAAAAACACAATCAGTGTCATATAATTGGGTGAGATGTGGGATTGACCAACCTGCCCCAGTGCATGAGGTCCATGATCAACCGATCCCCCCCACCCAGACTTTCTTTCTCGGGCATAAGTCCTTTTGCTACCAGCACTTTGCGTCTCAAGTAGCCAAGGCGTCCTGCGTTTGCAAAAGCCGGGTGGATCTCTATGATTGGAGGAGCTGTGATCGTTTGGCTAGCGCCAGCCTGGCCGACCTGGAAACCCACAGCTAAAGTCAGACACGTAGGTATAAAGCGTCCAAGACTATCACTTACTTTCAGAACTAAAGGCCCAGCCTTTGGGTTCTTGACCAACTCATTGGTGAGGTCGAGCATAGCCAGAGGATCGGCTTTTTTTGGAGTTGGCCAGATGTGGTCGTGAGTTCCAGAGTGGCGAAGGACCGCCCACCCAGTAGCTTTCTCGACATCCACCCGACAATGTGTTTGAGTACATTGGGTCCAGATGTGCTTGCCACTGCATTCCACAGCAGGGCATTCCGGATGACTAAATGATGCAAATGAAAAGAAAGAATGTGTGAGATTCAACAGTCACAGAAGATGATGCGAAAAAAGATAAGAAAGAAATCGATCGATCAAAAGAAGATAACAAAGCCATTGATCACACTTACTCTTCGATGGCCTGGGCTGCTTTCCCCTCAGCAGTGGGTGGCGGCGCAGCGTAGTCGCAGAAGTTGTCGTCACAGTGAAGTACCCCAAGACAAGTATACCAAGTCGTCTTCCAAGGCCCATGCTTCGCACCGTGGACCCTTTGAGTGTGAGCAAAAGCGAAGTGGCCAAAGTTGGTGATTCAATCGCCCCATCCTGGCTCGCGAACATAGACAGTTTCACCGTTGGGCCAGATTGGATACCCTTGACCATCACATTGGGAGCCATGGTCAATGTAAGTCTTGAGTTCGCCAGTCGCCGGTACGGGGATTTTGAATTTTTTGCCAGTCTTCTTTGGTCGATTACGCTTCTTCTTCTTGATCTTCTCGGGTGAGGTGGTGTTTGAATCAGGAGCAGTGGACGGCATAGTAGCTACCACAGGATCAAATGGAGAAGTCAAGGCGGTCTGAGTTGGGTATTGCGAGAAAGGAGCACCTTCAGGGGGACCAGGTAAGTCTAATGAGCTCTCGGAATCGTATTCAGACATAGTAAACGTTGAAGTATGGCAGTATTGATAGGGATAGAGTTGGTAAGAATGATCAAAATCGAACTGGAAGGATCGATAGAGTGAAATCAAGACGGATAACTCTAACTCTTGGAGAGACTGAGATGAATCCGTTGGAGAAGATGATGAAGGGGTGCGGCCAAAGTAATTAGATGGATTTGGTTGGGGGTAGCCATCGACACCAGGGAGTCGCTGACGCAGGATGATAGTTGTCATCCTGCGTTTGGTGATGTAGTCAGTTTAAGATGAATTTTCTTCGAATCTTGAGATGTAGTCCGTTTAGGATGGGTTGATTGGATGATAGTTTGGAATCCGGAGATGTAGTCAGTTCCAGGTAGGTCGATTGAGTGATAGCTTCGAAGATCGTGATGTGGTCAGTTTAAGATAGTTGGATTGGCTGAGATCTTTGAATGTGGTGATGTAGTCGGTAGGAGACGTTGATTCTTTAAAAGTAGCAGCTAGTGTGGTATTAGCTGAGATGGTGTCAAGGTGATTTGGGGATATGAACTTCCAGAAAGGGGATCCGGTGATTCCGGTGATTCCGGTGATATGCCGTCAGTGCAGTGCCGATCGGAGGACTTTTTGTTAGAGTTTTTGTTCGAGTGCAAATTTCAATCTTCATGGTATAATTTTAAAAAAGTACACTCCGAAGGTTCACGTCCAACTTTGAGTGTAAATGGTTTACAGTAGACTTGTTCAAATATAAAACAGAAATTTGGAGTTGGAAATTTGAAGTTGAGAATTTGGAACTCTGTAATTGCGTACAGCTTGTACATGAAGTGTATGAGTGTATGAGCTTGTATGAGATCTACATAAGTTCGTACATGAGCTGTACGAAGCGAGCTGCTTTTGCTCAACTTCAAGTTTTTGGGGGGTCTCTCAAAGTTGGATTTGTCAACTTGGAGTGCCGAACTTGAAGTCCAGCTGACCTCTCCCCCCACGCATCTTGGAGTTCCTCCCTACCCAATACATCGCAATGGGCCACTCACGTCCATGCTACCCCTCTCAACCCTTACCACGGATCTTCCCTCCGGATGAAGTTCAATCACAGCGCGTTGATGTTAACGTTCAACACGGTTCCCTAGATTCTGGTCCGCCAACGAACTCTACGCCTGAGATGGCCTTGGGTTACCAATCCACGCCTTCCTCCCACATTTCTTACGGACATCACCCTACTTACGATAATTTTCAGTACGATGCACACCATCAAGTGCCTTACGGTTCCCCTTACGAGACTCCTCATGGTTCTCCTTACGAGACCCCTTACGAGACCCCTTATGAGACCCCTTACGAGACCCCTTACGGCCTATCCCAATCTCAAGCTTATTCACCTTCAAGTTTTATGCCGGTGCCCTCTTTTCAACCTCAACCTAGCACTGTGCCAGCTCCTGCACCAGCTGCTACGGTTACTCCCATACCCAGTCCTCCGGAAAAGCGTAAGAGAGGCAGGAAAGCCAAGCCTAAGCCTACCGAGGGCCCAATTTCCGAAAAGGTTCCGGTATCCCAACCTTCGGCTTCAAACGGTGTCGCGGAATCCAATGCTGAGACTGATTACCATCGCTATTGGTTGATGCATAAAAATGAGAATGGTCAATCAGCTTATAGCATACTTGTAGAATGGGTGATTGTCCCTGGAAATTACAACAGATGGTGTGCGAAAGATTCAAAGAAGAAAGAAGTCGCTGACGAGATATCCACCTTTTTAATCGAAAGGGGAATCACTGGCAGGACAGCTGATTCCTGCTGCTGCCAGGTGAAGTATCTATGTTATCATGCTTAATCTTAGTATCCAGATGCTAACAGTTTGGTTTCATTATGGCTAGGTACGTGAAATCGAGAAAAAATATCGCTTGGCCCTTGAAGAGACTAAGAGGACTGGTGGTGGGTTAGTCGGGTACCCTGGAGAAAAGTCTTATGATGGTAAGAAAAACTTTTGATTGTGTCTCTGAATTGTACACCTCAAACTAACCCCTTGGAACCTCAGAAAAAATTGAGGATATGTGCCCGCACTTTTATGAACTCAATGCGGTGATGGCTGATCGACCATCAGCGACACCCCTGGACAACATCGAGTCAATGGCGGATCTGGATGAGGCCACCTCAATGGAAGCTCTTCGCCTCCCTCAAAAACAATCAATAGTAATCGATCTCAACGCTGATGACGAAATTATCCCTAATGATACGGTGTAGAACTCCTACGCTGTGTGGCGTAGGCTGAGCTGGAGAGGGGAAGAATCACCGTGCAGAAGGAATAACCACACGGATGATACTATGGTTGTCGTAGACTGCCCTCAACCTTTAACTAAAAGTTCAATAATAAAAAAATTAACACCGGAACAATTCTTAACAACTTTTCTCCCTTCACAAATCTATCACGTAACAATAATCTAATATTTCTAAAAGAACCTCAAGATTCCGCGGAATCCAACAATACCCTACCAACTGTACACACACAATTAACACAAAACTAAGTAAGTTTCGAGTTAGACGTAATGTTTTACTACTTATAATAATAAAACTAATTGAACAAAAATAAAAAACTAGATAATTTTTATAAAGGGAGACGGGATAGAATCAAGAAAAATAAAATTTCTAAACTCTAGTATAAGTTTAGCAGAACTACACTAGAAAAAAAAACTTTCTAAAAAAAATGGCTAAGGTCTAGGAGGGATTTGAACCAAGGATCTGGCTAGGTCTGTGTAAAGGACTTTCACGTATTGTGAAATATAGCAATAAAAAAAATAAAAAAAAATAACTAATGAACTCTTGTCCCAGCTCAGCAAACACCACCGATTTCAATCTTTCAAGATACTAAAAGAACACTATCACTCCACTGATTTGATTTAGGAATAACTAAGCTTAAAGACAACAATCAAAACACTTCAAACAAGACTCGTTATTGATTTAATTTTAATTCTTCAAAAGAACAAACACTCTCAATAATACGCTAACTCTTTTAAAATCAATCACTCAGAGACTTATTTTTCTTAATAACGACAAATTCTTTCTTTTTCTTTCTTAGATGAATCACCAAAAAAAGAAAAAAAAAACACACTTCTCTCTCGAACAAACGAACACGAACCAGGCCCACCTTTTTCTTCATCTACTTGTACGCCGATTGGACTCAACTTTGCTCAGATCACATCAAGTCCATTTTCTCTTTTGATTTTCGATAAGGTTTCCCTTTTTTATTCAGGTGAGTCCCCATTCTTCTTACTCATCCTTTTTTTTTTCTTCTTTCTTATCATTTACTAACTATCTCTTGATTCCTTCTCTTCCACGCCTGAGTACTACTTCTACCTTGATCACCTCATTTCCTCTTCTTGATCTAGTCTTTTTTTTTTTTTACTGTAGGATTCAGATCGATCGATCCTCAGCACCTCTTTCTACACCCTTGTTTTTTCTACCACCGCGATCCATTCCCCTCGTTCGATTTTAATCTATCTCCTTCTCAACTCTAAGCTTCTATCCCAGCACCTCTTGCTTTTGACTATATCGATCACATCTTCCATTGATCCCCATCACTCGTACGTTTACTTTCTCTTCCCTGCTATGTTCCTCTTTATACTTTTACTAATGTAATACCCAATTTTATCTCTCAGCATTGATTTTCATCTTGATCTTCATGAATCTTCACCTCCTACAATCGATCTCGATCTCGACTGCCTGCATGTTGGTCTCACTCCTCTCTTTTAATTTTGATCTTCTTGGATTTGAACTTCTAGTAAGTTTACTTCCTTATATCTCTTCTTGATTTTTAGTTTCAATCTGATTCTTTTAAATTTGTTTGCCTCCATCCTCCTTCTAGGTACCCACTCGATTGATTCCCATCCTCATATATGCAATCCCCACTCGCACTCATGCCCCATCACCTCATCCTACCTCTCTCTCGCTATCAATCACTGATTCATCTCTCAGTGTTCTATTTTTACTTTCTAACTGTGAGTTCTCTATCGATCTGACCCTTTCTTTAAACTTTTACTGACTCTTTTTCATTTAATTTATTTGTTTCTTTCCTCGATCGTCCTCTAGGTACCTATCAATCGATCTCCACCTCACTTGATTCGATTTCAACTTAAAACCTTTCATCACCTCATTTGTCTCACATTCCCCACTTCTTTTTAGTTTATCTTCCCTCCTCTTGTATTCTCATCTCGCTTTGATTAAGATTACTTTATTTATCTTACTCGATTCTTTTATTGTCTTTAGTTCTAATTTTAATTATAAAAAAACTTCCTTCTTTATTCATGTAATATCATTCTACTGGCTCATTTAATATGATCATAATATACATTTAGTCTTGAATTGAAGTAACAAAATTGTATCTTCTATTGAATGCCTTCTTAGTCCGCTGAGCCCCAACCTAGCCATGTGAGAGAATCTTGATCCGGTGAGGAAAGTAAAAGAATGATAGTTGTAAGAAAAAATTGTTCACACCAAAGCTTCAGTTATAAAAGGCTGAGCTTTAAGTGAATCTGATCACCACAACGTCCCAACCACCGAAAAAAACTAATACAGATGTAAGTTTACCTCTATATTGTTTCTCTTCTTGAAGTTATGTGGTATTTATAGTTCCTACACTTTTGCTTTGATTGTTTCATTTTCCTATGATTGTTTCATCAGGTCTATGAGATCCCAGACGGGGTGGACATGGACCAAGAGTCCAATATTGAGTTCATTGAGAACAACGAGCCTGGGTACAACAAGTCCAAACTCTTGAAGTAAAAGACCTCCTCAAATATTATTACCCACCCGTAGTAAGTTTTTGATTATCATCGTCTCATTTTATCTTTTCTATCTTCATTAGCTTCATTAGCCAGACTAACAAAGTTGATTGTTTCTAGGGCCGTGATTACAAATGCCGATGGTGTAACCAAAATTTCAAAGGCGGCAAGTCAAAGGTATTGTACTTCAACTTACAAGGCCATCAGGATGGCAATGCAACTTGTCCTTCATGCAAGCTACGGCACAAGGCCATTGCAGCAGGCGTGGTACTTGCACCTTCATATGAAGACAAACTGGAAGCTCAGAAAAAACACAACAAAGGTAACCTGTCTTCTTTTGTCAGCGGTCCAGCCTTCACCGTCAACCTCCTGAACATGATCTTAGTCATGTGGATTGTCCGACATGCACTTCCCTGGGCTCGCTTCGAAGATCAGGCTCTTTGAGCGGCATTCCACTCAGTCAATTGTGAAGCTGTCATCCGTTCAAGAACCTGGGCTGCATAGCAGTCTGTGGTACTGTATTCAGCCCTGCACAATCAAGCAATTAACAAAGTCAAGGTAAGTCTTTCTTCTCAAATGTATTTCATCTTTTCATATTCTAAATTGAATTTTTTACTCTTTAATTTCAAACAGATGAATAAGGGCAAGTTTTGTTTGATTCACGATGTCTGGACAACCAAAGGGAACCGTTACACATTCATTGGGGCCACGGCAGATTATGTCGATGAGGATTGGAATTATCAATTGACTCATCTGACCCCCAAAATGGTTGCATGGCAACAGTTTGGAGCTCTATTGGCAAGGCCAATTGGCTGTTTCTTAACTCATCATGATCTGCATGAAAAGATAAGTCCTCCCAATTTGCTTCTTTTTGTTTGGTCTTTTATTATTTTACTAATCATTGTTTTTTCACTTACATGTTGGCCCAGACCACTGACAGCGGTGGCAACAACAGACCAATGGTGCAGGAACTTCAAGCAATGTTTGCCGGCGCCGACAACCCCGTCGGTTGGAACAGCTCTGCCCGCCACATCCGGTGCTACGCCCATAAACTGAACCTCACAGTCGGGCATGGCCTCAGTCTGCTTGGTCAGAAGGTGAGTAAAGCAAAGCCATCAACCCCTCAAGGCATTCCACTCCCAGTTTCTGTTCTTGAGGTGAATGGCGGCCAGAATGGTATTGAGATCAATGAAACCAATGGTGTTGATGACAAGGAAGGTAGTATTGATCACACTACAGAAGATGTAGTTGACAAAGACGACCTAGTTGCTCTGGCACTGTTTAAGGTAAGTCATGTATTCTTTGCTTTGTTTTCTTCTTTCTATCAAACTTCAAGTTGATCACATGAGACCAGGTTGATACTGTCAGTGGACAGATTGCCAGCAGTGTGGCTAGACAATCAGATTTCAAGGCTCGCGCCTCTTGAATGGGGTATACAGGTCAAATGCTTATGTGCCCCTGTAAGACTTGTTGGAATTCCCACTACCAGAGCAGGAAGGTAGCGTGTGAGGCACATGAGGTAGGTTTCAATTTAATCTTTCTTTTTCTTTAATTGACATTATCCAACACTTGCTGACTGTATATTGATCACTAGGTCATCAATTCGATGCTTGCAGCTGATCGCAAGGCTGCTTTTTTCAAGGGGCTAACAATTTCACCAGCCGAGTGGCATGCTGTCAAACTGGTAAATAAGGTATTGAAGGTCAGTATCCTCAGCCATCTCTCAATTATTGCTATCAACTAACAACTAACCTTGTATGTCTGTCGTTTTATTTGTATCAACAGACATTTGTAGAAGCAACAGCTCAAGTCAAGGGAAACGGACCTACCGGATGTATAGTCTTGATGGAATACAAGCGGGTTATCTCTGAACTCTCAGCTCTTCAAGCTGAGTGTTCAGATTATTCAACCCTTGATAAAGCCATCACCGAGATGATCAAGTGGCTAACTAAGCATATGGACAAAGCAGTTGAATGTGAGGCTATAGTATTAGCCACAATCCTCAACCCTCAATTTTGAGGGAAGTTCTTCTCAATTCATTACCCCAATCACGACGTCTCTGCTGATCTGGCAATTGAGCTTGCCTTCAACAATTGGCTTGAAGAATCTCGAGAACAAGAGCCTGCCCCGACTGACAACAACAATGCCGCTACTACTGAGACTGACTCTTTCGACATCTTTGGAGGCTCTAATGCCAGTACTAACAAAGCAACATCTTCTGAGCTCGAAGACTACCTCAACAGGAAGTATGTGATGAGGAAGGATCAGACCCCTCTGGGTTGGTGGAGGGTATG